GTCGATATAATTTAAGTCCACTTAACGCACAGACCGTTACCGACCCTGGGGGAAGTGAGACAATGATTCGAGTATAACTTGAAGTGATAACTCTGTTTTCCTACCTTGGTTACAGGTGGTGAATCGACCAATCTGGCCAAGAAGACTTACTGTGACAGCATTGAGTTGCAAGGACTCTGCAAGAGAGGCATTAAGCAGACACGCACACACACACACACACACACACACACACACACACACACACACACACACACACACACACACACACACACACACACACACACACACACACTCTGGACAAGATTTATAAACACTGGGGTACTTCACAGGGACTGATTACCACTGGTTGGCGACAGGTGTCCAAATAAAGCTACGCAGATGTTGAACAAGTGTCTTGTTCTTCATCACTTCTGTGAAAAACGTGAAAATTTTGACATTATTCACCTCAATTTTCTTTCGTGAAAAAAATCTTTTGCAACTTTTTATCGCATTTAAAAGAGGCGGCAAACGCGTATGGGCCACACACCATTTCGCCCTGAAGACAAATGAAAACTCCGGAAGATATTTTTTTTTCACGTTGGTGAGTGATAATGGTTCAGAAAGAGTCGAAACGTCGTCCACTTTTAATCTGAAAATAGTGCGCTGGTGTGAAAGGTTTCGCCCATCATATTGTGACTTATTGTTTTGTTAATAAAGTATTTTATTAGTGAAAAGTTGATTTCCCCTCACTGAAGGATCTTGTGTCCCCTCACTGAAGGATCTTGTGTCCCCTCACTGAAGAATCTTGTGTCCCCTCACTGAAGGATCTTGTGTCCCCTCACTGAAGGATCTTGTGTCCCCTCACTGAAGAATCTTGTGTCCCCTCACTGAAGGATCTTGTGTCCCCTCACTGAAGGATCTTGTGTCCCCTCACTGAAGGATCTTGTGTCCCCTCACTGAAGAATCTTGTGTCCCCTCACTGAAGGATCTTGTGTCCCCTCACTGAAGGATCTTGTGTCCCCTCACTGAAGGATCTTGTGTCCCCTCACTGAAGGATCTTGTGTCCCGTCACTGAAGGATCTTGTGTCCCCTCACTGAAGGATCTTGTGTCCCCTCACTGAAGGATCTTGTGTCCCCTCACTGAAGGATCTTGTGTCCCCTCACTGAAGGATCTTGTGTCCCCTCACTGAAGGATCTTGTGTCCCCTCACTGAAGGATCTTGTGTCCCCTCACTGAAGGATCTTGTGTCCCCTCACTGAAGGATCTTGTGTCCCCTCACTGAAGGATCTTGTGTCCCGTCACTGAAGGATCTTGTGTCCCCTCACTGAAGGATCTTGTGTCCCCTCACTGAAGGATCTTGTGTCCCTCACTGAAGGATCTTGTGTCCCCTCACTGAAGGATCTTGTGTCCCCTCACTGAAGGATCTTGTGTCCCCTCACTGAAGGATCTTGTGTCCCGTCACTGAAGGATCTTGTGTCCCCTCACTGAAGGATCTTGTGTCCCCTCACTGAAGGATCTTGTGTCCCCTCACTGAAGGATCTTGTGTCCCCTCACTGAAGGATCTTGTGTCCCCTCACTGAAGGATCTTGTGTCCCCTCACTGAAGGATCTTGTGTCCCCTCACTGAAGGATCTTGTGTCCCCTCACTGAAGGATCTTGTGTCCCCTCACTGAAGGATCTTGTGTCCCCTCACTGAAGGGTCTTGTGTCCCCTCACTGAAGGATCTTGTGTCCCCTCACTGAAGGATCTTGTGTCCCCTCACTGAAGGATCTTGTGTCCCCTCACTGAAGGATCTTGTGTCCCCTCACTGAAGGATCTTGTGTCCCCTCACTGAAGGGTCTTGTGTCCCCTCACTGAAGGATCTTGTGTCCCCTCACTGAAGGATCTTGTGTCCCCTCACTGAAGGATCTTGTGTCCCCTCACTGAAGGAGGTCCCTTATGTCGTGTTCCTTGTCACATCTCATCAACAAGTGAGATCCTCCGCCTCGTTCACTCTTGTCTCTCTCTCATCAACCTAAAATTCTGCCCGAGGAAGTAATTAAAACTCCTGGCCAATGTTACTCGCAATTTTTAAACTAATACAAAAAATTTACGAACTGCCTTTGAGGGATGACTCTAAAGGAAGAAAAAATGGAGCTGAAAACATTCTCTCTGGGAAAAAAAATTGGGTTTCTGTTTCCGTAGATTTAAATTCAGGAAATCCCAATTACTGACACTTGTGTATGGATATTTATACAGCTGTGATATATAGCTGTTTATCAGACAGCTGCGCTGTTACCTGTCAGTTATATCTATACATCACACACTCGCATACACACACTTATAAACAAACACTATTCGAATTCACACATACACCATACATACACAGCCATACATACAAAACACATACATCCACCTGACATTTTTCTTGGATGAACAGCCGATTCAAAGTGTCTGAAACCAGTATGATTACTGCATGACTGGATGAGAACAGGGAGTGAAGCGCTCAGCTCTGGAATTAATGCAATATATCATAAGATGACGACAGCGAAGAAAATTCTTTTCATGGAAGTTATAACAGAGAACGATGACAGTAGAACGGCTTCCTATCATGCAGGAGATGTTGGACAGCAGAATCTGATGAGAGAGAGAAAGAGAGAGAGAGAGAGACAGACAGAGACAGAGAGAGAGAGAGAGACAGACAGAGACAGAGAGAGAGAGAGAGAGAGAGATGGTGCTCACGAACAGGTACTATAACACCGAACAGCATGGTGATGGGCTAGTAGTTTGCTGGAGTGGATGTATTCGAAGAGATTGAAATGGGAGCTTGCTAAAGCAGCACTCGCAGACTACCACAATTCTCTGGGCCAGGCTACCACAATTCTCTGGAGCAAGGAAGACGGCAAACACACGACAGAGGCCTCATTTAGCCTTCGTGAACACTGGGTCGATACATCTGTTGTCCAGTTGAGTGCTTTACCTGATCCTCCTTTGTGTGTTTGTTTGTACTTCCCTAGTTGTGTTTGCAGGGGTCGTGTTTGTTTGTTTATTTGTTTGTGTGTGTATGTGTGTGTGTGTGTGTGTGTGTGTGTGTGTGTGTGTGTGTGTGTGTGTGTGTGTGTGTGTGTGTGTGTGTGTGTGTGTGTGTGTGTGCGTGTGTGTATTTGTGTGCGTGTGTTCTTACATAATAGTGGTTGCAGGAGTTGAGTCTCTGCTTCTGGTCCTGCTATTTAATTTCTTACTGGATTCACCCCTAAACTCCTAAACTTATGGGCCCTGTCATACCTATTCTTAAAACTATGTATGGAGTCTGCCTCTAATACTACTAATTTCCAGATCACTACACTTCCTGACCACCCTAAGGCTGAAGAAATTCTTTCTGACATTCCTATGTCCCATCTGTATTTTTAACTTCCAACTGTGCCCTCGTGTACCCGTTCCCCGCCTCTCCAATGGTCTACCTAGTCACATCCTCTGATTATTTTTAAGTTATCATGTCTTCCCTGATTCTTCAATCCTTTAAGGTCATCCGATTCCATTTCTCCTCGTAACTCATACCCCTCTGGCTCTGGGACTAGTCTCGTTTCATACCTCTGCACTTTCTCCAGTTTTTTAACCTGCTTTATCAGGTGTGGGTTCCATGCTGGTGCTGCGTACTCCAAGATAGTCGGACATTTGTCGTATATAGTGTCGTGAATGATGTTCTTTATTATTATTTTATCATTACACTTAGTGGGATATTCTAAACCCGTATGGGTCATACAGTGCCTTGGGAATGGAAGGCAATCGGATTAGATGCAAGGAAGGGGAGGACAGATGATTCCTTTGATCAAGAGCCCTTCATCAACATCAAGAACCCCCCCCCCTTAAGGGGACTCTTTGTTAATATCCCTGAAGGCTGATCTTAGATTTACTCACCGAGAATTCACTTTAGAGGTCACTGGACTGATGCGTTTATGGTGTTGACTCGGAACAATGTTTACCCTCAGAATCCTTCTCCTTGAGTGAGGTTTGAAGCCTCTGTTCCTCGAAACTGTACTCAGTTTCCAGTCTTCCCTCTTCGACAGTTTTCATTACCTTGCACTTGCTGGGGTTGGATTCAAGTAGCCACTTGTCAGTACTGTTTGTCCAGGATCCCTCTGTAGCTTTTCTTTATTTTCATCAGTTTTCGTTCTTATTAATTTTATTTCAGCAAGCAGGGGTACAAATGAATTTAACTGTGGGTATGTTATTCGCACATATAAGAAGCAGTACTGGTCAGAATACTAATCCTTGCTGAACACCACTTGTTACACCTTCCCATTCCATTCTAACATCTCTTCCCGGCAATTGTTATTCTCTCCAACAGCTAAGGTCGTCTTTGATCCACTCTAGGGTATTCACTCTTCTTCCTGCCTGCTACTAGAATTTTCTGCTTCAGTCTTTTGTGAGGTACAGTCTCGTATCCCTTCTTGTACTCCAAGACTGTGCCATCCACCAGTCCCTCTTTCTGCTGCCTCATTTCTGTTACTTTGTCGTAAAACTTCAGCAGGTTTTTGAGATAAGAATTTACCAGCGTGTGTGTGTGTGTGTGTGTGTGTGTGTGTGTGTGTGTATGTGTTGTGTTGTGTGTGTGTGTGTGTGTGTGTGTGTGTGTGTGTGTGTGCGTGTGTGTGTGCGTGTGTGTGTGTGTGTGTGTGTGTGTGTGTGTGTGTGTGTGTGTGTGTGTGTGTGTGTGTTGTGTGTGTGTGTGTGTGTGTGTGCGTGTGTGAGTGTGTGTGTGTGTGTGTGTGTGTGCTCAAATTTCTAGATCTTAAGTACGCTCTGCGTTGTGTGAAGATTATGGGGTTATTTCTCTACCGTGAATACTACTGTTACCACAACTACCACTAATACTACTACTACTTAATAGTACTATTACTACTGAAAGTACTATTACTACTAATAGTACTACTACTACTACTGATACTACTCTATTACTACTACTACTACTACTACTACTACTACTCCTACTACTACTACTACTAATAATAATAAGAGTAATAATGGAGGTCGTGTGCGCAGGTCCGCTGACGGAGGTGGTGGTGCTGGAGGGTGGACGTGTTCTGCTGCCGTGCGACGTGTCACCTCCCATCTCTAGCGACGATACCATCCTCGTCCTCTTCTACCGTGGCTCCTTCGGTACCCCCATCTACAG